TGGATCGCCATGGGGGCATATCGGCAGAATTACAAAATTTATTGCATCAGTCTGTGTTACCACATTCTGTCGATCCTTCTCGAGTATGGAGAAAATCCATAGTGTACACGGCGAATGAGAACGACTCAAATTTGAGTTTAGTTCACTCATAATCGCCAAAAGTGCAGGAACTCAGCGATGAGTTAATTTGCCTCATGTTTTCCCAGGTTTTTCCAGGATTTTCCAGGGAAAAATTCATGAATTTGAGAAAAGTAAAAATTGGATTCACTCAGTCTATTAGTACTACTCCGAGACTGAATAAAATTTTCGTCAATTTCCTCATTTTCCGGCAGATTTTTTAGGTTTTCCACAGGAAACCATGAGACAAATTTTACTCATCGCTGAGTTCCTGCACTTTTGGCGATTATGAGTGAACTAAACACAAATTTGAGTCGTTCTCATGCCCCATGCTCGAGACTATTTATCAAGAATGGTAACAAGTGTTCCGTTAGCGAAGCTATTGTTGAAAACTGGTGGAACCACACAGAATCGATATCAGCTCAAAGCAAAACGCATGGCTCAATAAGTTTTCTTGGGATCCCTCTCGGATGAGTTTTGGGTTATCTGAATTAAGTACTTACCTGCTTATACACTCCGACCATCTAATCGTTTTGTTTCACATGTTATTCTTTCGTTTTTTAAATCGTTCATTTAATACAAATAAAACGAATTTTATAACTTGTTAAATCGCTTACCTAATCAAGAATCCTGAGCGAAAACTTCCACATGTCAAATGAAATCAAAATAGTCATTTACTATATTCACACGTAGACCTTCCGGTAAAGAGTTCGATCCGCGTTACACGGTAAATACCGTAAGGCATGGAGGTGGTAGCATCATGGCTTGGGGTTTTTTCTCTTGGTATGGAGTAGGTCCCATTTTCCGTATTAATTCCATCATGACCAGATTTGAATACAAAGAAATCATGGAGGAGGTTATGCTCCCTTATGCAGAAGAGAACATGCCTCTTATATGGCATTTTCAGCAAGAAAACGATCCGAAACCCAATTCTAAGTATGTAAAGGAATGGTTTTAAGCAAACAAAGTGTCGGTTATTTCATGGCATAGCCAATTTCCTGACATCAACCCCATCGAAAATTTATGTAAAGAGCTTAAAAGAAAGTTATCTGGTCCAGCATTTTCAAATAAGGATCAACTATGGACCACTGTTCAAAAAGAGTGATATGTTGTACCAAATGAAACTTGTCAGTGCTTGGTTGAGTCAATGCCAAGAAGATCGAACTAGGTTCAACTTAACAATGGAGGGCACAGCGATTACTAAGCGTCATTAGTCTAATAAAACTGAAACGATTTTTTTCAAGCTTTCTATACTATAATTTTATACAACACACCTATTTCACTAACAAGGCATATTTTATATTTGATTCTTATGAGTGTGTCATTTAACGTTTTAACTTTGAATTTTCTCGTGCAATTACTTAATTTTTATTACACTATCAAATGCTAAACTTTAGAGTCGAATCAAATGAAGTTGAATGAACATAACCTAAAATTTCGTATTTACTTTATCTACACCTATTTTAATGACCAGCAGTGATGTATGTTACACTCACAACATTTACTGCGTACGTACTACCCAAGTAACAATTTTGGTTTTATGAGGGTTCTGTAGACCATTTTTTTTTTTTCCTTTGGTTTGTTTTTTCCGTCGATCTTGTTTTCCGTGCTGAGCACCAATGCTACCGACGCCAGGAAGGCAGCTCCCACACCTGGACCCTACCTATCGACCCATCAACTCATGAACCGGGGACCAACGGCTTTACTTTTTACTTCCCTTGTGGTGATCAGAGATGTTATGCCTCAGAACATCCCGGCGGCGCCGACTGGGATTGAACCCAGGCCTGCTGGGGTGAGGTTCTGTAGACCATGATTTAGACTTGTATAATGCTATAAAACCTCTATAAAGCTTGCAATGTTACTTGGGTACACAATTTATTTCTAAAGGATATCAATCATCACACTAAATGACTATCATAGGTGAAATTTCATAACAAGATAGCTTATGTAACGTAATATCAACTCAAGACTGAACATGGCTTAATTTACACCAACTTTCCTATGGTCCGTTATATTGGAAACATATTTGTGCCATTTTGAAAAATGAATCAACTCAAAAGATCGATTCCAAATGATTGATTAAATCGGTGAATCTATTATTTTCAAACAAATGAATCGATTCACTAAGATCGATTCTTGCCTCAAGATCGCCCAATGCTAGTAACCGCCGTCCAAGATTTCCAGTATCCCAATCGGTTTGCCAACTCGAAAGGGTACTCTGAAGCACTAAATGGTAAAATTCTTCGTGTGAAATTTGCCTGTCATAAAATTCGCCTTCCTGCGCGCCCACCTTTGCAAGAGAGTCCACATTCTCATTGCCTGGGATTGAGCAATGTGAGGGGACCCATACAAAGGTAATCATATCTAGATAGAGCTGGAATTAGGGCCTTACAGCTTTGGTAAACAATGACTGCTCTTGATGATTTCTAGAAATTAAAGGCACGTCCACTCAAATCAACCTAACCATCGGATAGGGGAAGTCTTTCCCTACCCGATGAGGATGTTGGTTTGCGTTGGCGAGCCTTGAAGTTCTAGAAATCATCGATAAAAGTAATTGTATACAAAAGCTGTTACGCCCTAATTCCAGCTCTATCTAGATACATGATCTATCGACCAACACACTCATCTGCTCCCTTACCTTTGAAAGGAAATAAGATGAGCGCCTACCTTGTGTCATCGACCGAATAGCCTAAATCGAACTGAGACTATCCGAGAAGATGAAGTAATGGTCTGCAGGCATGTCGGAAATCATCCTCAATGCGAAGTTGATTGCTGCTAGCTCAGCAACATAAATGGAACAAGGTTCCTGAAGTTTGCGGAAGGCGCTAGAATTTTCATTGAAGACACCGAAGCCAGTGGATCCGTTGAGACGTGACCCGTCTGTAAAATATCTTTTCACGCAATTGACGTGTTGGTACTTTTCAGTAAAAAATCGAAGTTGATCTGGAATCCCATGAATCACTTGTTTCATGGTCAGATCATATTCAATTGACGAACTGCTAATGGTGAAGTGAGCACGGTCTGGAGTATACCAAGGAAGACACATATCCGAAAATATGTAGTGGTGGTAGATTGTCATAAATCGAGATTGTGTGTTCAGCCCAAGAATTTCTTCAAAATTTGCAATTATAAGTGTGTTTGTCACTCCGCATTTGATTAGTATTCTGAGAGAGAGAGCTCCCAGAAACGGTTCTGGAGGGGTTTTACTCTTGCCAGAACCTTGAGGATCATTTTATGCGTTGAGTGCATACAGCCGAGCGCAATACGCAAACAACGATATTGAATTCGTTCCAATTTTATTAGGTGCCATTTTCTTGCCGAGAGAAAGCAGAAAGAGCCGTACTCTAGAACAGAGAGAATTGCTGTTTTATAAAGCGTTATGAGGTCTCCTGGATGAGCACCCCACCATGTGCCACAAATTGAACGGAGAAAGTTGATCCTCTGCTGACCTATTTTGCTTCAACTACGTAATATGGGTATTCCAAGTGCACTTTGAATCAAACCAGACCCCAAGATACTTGAAAGACAATGATTGAGCAATGTATCTGCCCAAAAGATTAAGTTGCATTTGGGCTGGGTACCGCTTTCGAGTAAACACTACCAGTTCAGTTTTCTGCGGCGAGAATTCGATTCCCAGATTCCTAGCCCAAGAAAAAAATGTATCTAAGGAACTTTGCAATGGTCTTTGCAAGTCCACGGCATGTGGACCACTTACGAAAACCACACCGTCATCTGCAAGTTGTCTTAGCCTGCATTGTTCTGCCAAACAGTTGTCGATATCTTTGACATAAAAGTTATAAAGAAGATGACTGAGACATGAGTCTTGGGGCAACCCGACTCGTACCTTCCTCAAAATTACCCTTTGCTCGCTTTCTACTCTCTAGTACTGACCAAAACGGATATGCTGATGAAGTTTATTCAAAATACGGTATTGTACCAAACAGAATTATTTTATAATTTCTTTAAATTTGGTAAGATTTAAGATTATGTTTAACCGTTTTGTGCGTGATGGCTACCTATGTGCCCAACTCCGGTTTAAATTATACGGTGTATTATGTAATTCCTTAACCCAAAAGGGATAAAATACAATCAATATTTGGTAAGAAAATGCATTCACAATTTAGCATACAATCATTTGATCTAACTTATAATTCAATCACGAATCTTTGGTTAGTAGCAACAGGTGTTATTGACTACAGCATCATTTCAAATAAAAATTTGCGCTTATTGGTACCGTGCTTGACACAAGCAACGGGGAAACTTTCACTCCGATAAAACAAACGAACCATCATGGCGGACAAACCTCGAACTAATGTCAAGTCCATCTGCCCAGAAAAGCAGAAATTCATTTAAAGTTTGATGTTTTTGAAATCATCGACTTTCTTGAAATAACCGAAAAATTCCATTTCAACTAGTCGCCACCGTGTATGCAAATGATGACCATTATCGCAATATACTGAACTTGTGTTGTCGACTCGTTGCGTAAGTTGAATGAATTTCCTATGATCGATTTCTTATCACCATCAACTCACGTCTAATAAAAGAAAAAAAAACGCACCACGATGCCTGCTGATCCTCACGCTGCGAAATTAATCATTTTTGCCTAATAAGGGTAGTAAAGTCGTATTATACAACAGCCGTAAAAGCTGTGCAACTGAGCATCTGTAACAATCATACAAAGATGCTTACATGAAAACACGACTCCTCTTGTAGCGGTGCTCCAAGCCTTGATGTTTTGTTTATTACTTGGTCATAAATCAATCCTATCGCTCACGTCATCACCGACCGTAAAAGATGCGGAGCGATAGACTAATGCAATAACTAAATTTGCTAATTTGTTTTTTTTTTTTTTCTTTTCATATCGCTCCTTCTGTCCCCATCAGGATTACCCCAAGTATTCCTTTAACTACGGAGTGGCAGATCACAGCACCGGCGATGTCAAATCCCAGCACGAAACCCGAGACGGCGATGTTGTGAAAGGTATGTGATTTATAAATAAATAAATAATCTGATTCAATTAACAACACGATTTTTCGGTGATTAACACTTCCACACATTCGTATCAAAACTCCCAAGCGTCACCGTTTTTCACAATCACCCAACCGTGATTGAGCAATTAGCCGCTCCTTTGCTTATTTGTTTAACAAAACGCCACACAAAACTGCTACACTTCCATAGTTCACACGTTCTTTTTTTTTCCTTGCTGTACCTGTGTATTTTTTGCACGACAATCATCACCACATCAGCGTGCGCCGGTGTGCAAAAAAAAACGGAGTTGCAACTAATCTCACGATTGCAGCCTAATGTATGGCAATTTATTTCAATTCATAACCGCAGCACCGCCACCGATCTTCGCACACGGTCATTATTCACACTCGGCGAGTGCGGCGCGAGTGAGAAAAGGGTTCCCGCCTTGTTATCTTCCAATTTTACAACCGAAGACAAATCACACGTTTGTAGCTTTACTTACCTACATACAGAAGCCGGGGCGAATGAGAGACTCAAACGAGCGGTTATTGTCTTGGTCGGCGCCCTTGGGTAGGTGGAAAAGGTGCGTTTTGTTTGTCATTTTCACAGATGCGATTTTATACGAGCGAATCCATCCGCGAGGTGCAGTGTAGCTACATAATGTGGCTACTACATGTAGCTAATTTGCATACACTTACATTGTGCTGATTGCCGCACTGTAGGTTGTTTTAATAAGATAATCTTCGCCTCGTACTCATTGGGTGTCGCTCCGCAGGTGGTATTGCGAGAAATCTCCCGATAATTTTATTGTTGTTTTATTGGACGGGGTTTCATTTTTGTGTTTTGTTGGTAATTTACCTTAAATGGCTGAAGCTGCTGCTGCCTTGTTTGCCAGCAATTATGTAATGAACTCTGCTTACTTTACTTTTCCTGGTCCGACGTCCCTCAGGATTGCACCTGCGTCACAATGTTACGCCAACTAACTCGGCTAGTGGCTGCTTGTCTCCAATTTCTTGACCGTACCACATTTCCTAGATCTTGCTCCACTTGGTCTAATCACCTTGCTCGCTGTGCTCCTCTGCGTCTTGTACCGGCCGAATTCGACGCAAACACCATTTTGACGGGATTGTTGTCCGGCTTTTTTTTTTTGTAACTCTTTATTTGTTCCAAATTTTAAATAAATTACATTTCATTTTTAACCTAGGTGCTCCAGTTACTGCAGTAACTTACCAGCCTTAATTGTTATGATATATATCTAAGTGTTTTTTTAACCTGCATGTCAGTATAACAATTGAAATCTTAAAACTAAAAACTAAAACTAAATCTTATCTAAGTATAAAGGGAATTAATCGTTGCAATTGAGGATTGCAACGATTTTTACCGGAAATTATTAATTATTTTGTTGGACATTTGTGCTAAAGTCTCAACATTCGAAATTCTATGTACTTCGGTAGTACTGTACCAGGGAGGCAACTTCAAAATCATTTTCAGAACTTTGTTCTCAATCCTTTGAAGTGCTTGTTTCCTGGTAGTGCAACAACTAGACCATATTGGCACAGCGTAAAGCATGGCCGGTCTAAAAACTTGTTTGAATATTAGAAGTTTATTCGTCAGGCAAAGTTTGGATTTTCTGTTTATAAGAGGATACAAACATTTTATATATTTGTTACATTTGGCTTGAATGCCCTCAATGTGGTCTTAAAAGTTAATTTTTGGTCAAATACTAATCAAAGATATTTCACTTGGTTTGACCAGGAAATTGGAACTCCGCTCATAGTGACTATGTGACTACTACTAGGTTTCAAAAAGGAAGCTCTAGGCTGTCCGGCATTCTTACATTCTTGTCCCGCCCATCGTACCCGTCCAGCTTTCGCGACTTTCTGGATACTGGGTTCGCCATAGAGTTGCGTCAGCTCATGGTTCATCCTTCTCACATAAATATCCCGCTAAAGATGATCCTAAGCACTCGTCGTTCGAAAACACCCAGTGCTTGAAAGTTCTCCTCGAGCATCATCCACGTCTCACGCCCGTAGAGAACTACCGGTCTTATCAGCGTTTTGTACCCGTGAAGTCTTGTGAAGTTTACCCGGCCTCGGGGACTTGGGAAGTCCGTAGTAAGCACGACTTCCAGCAATTATGCGTCTACGAATTTCTCTGCTACAGTTGTTATGCGACGTCATAATCATAATCTTCCATAGCTCTTCACGGTCAATAGTATAATAAGTGGCCTTGAAATCGATGAATAAGTGGTGCGTAGGGACTTGATATTCACGACACTTTTGGAGGATCTACCGTAACGTAAATATTTAGTCCGTTGTCGATCGCCCACAAAACCAGCTTGATAACTTCCCACAAATCTGCTTGCTAGCTGCGTAAGATGATCTGGCAAAGCACTTTGTAGGCCACGTTGAAAATAGTGATCGCTCGATACTTCGCACATTCTAGCTTGTCCCCTCTTTTATTTATTGGGCATATTACTCCCTCTTTCCACTCCTCCGGTAGCTGTTCTGTATCCCAGATACTGACTATCAGTCGGTGCAAACAAGTGGCCAACTTATCTGGGCCCATTTAAAAAAGTTCCGTTTTGATACCAGCTGCTTTGTTGTTCTTAAGGGGAACTCACTGCTCCGAAAAAAATAATTACGTTTTTGAAAAATATTGGAAAAATGTATCAAAAATCTAAAAAAAATATATTAGACCCCGGGAGGCTGCAAACTTCACGCATCGTTGGCCGTTGTCGTTCGATACGGCATGCAGGCTATTTGGCCCGATTACCGGTCTATACATTGCCTCCCGTCCTACCTGAGCGTTCATGTCGCCGATGACGATTTTGACGTCCCGTTGCGAACAGCCGTCGTACACCTGCTCCAGCTGCGCATAGAACGCTTCTTTCTTGTCGTCAGGTCTCCCTTCGTGTGGGCAGTGCACGTTGATGATGCTGTAGTTGAAGAAACGGCCCTTAATCCTCAACTTGCACATCCTCGCGTTGATCGGCTGCCAACCAATCACGCGTTGGCGCATCTTACCCAGCACTACAAAGCCGGTTCTCAGCTCGTTGGTGATGCCACAGCTCTGGTAGAAAGTAGCCGCTCGATGCCCGCTTTTCCATACCTTTTGTCCCGTCCAGCAAAGTTCCTGCAGTGCTATGACTTCGAAGTTGCGTGGTTGAAGTTTGTCATAGATTAACTTATCGCAACCCGGGAAGCCGAGCGATTTGCAGTTCCATGTTCCGAGTTTCCAATCGTAGTCCTTATTTCGTCGCGTAGGTCTGTGCCGATTGTTCCTATCCGTATTTCTTTCTTCGGTATTTGCAACTTTGTTTTTTTTTCCAGGGCGGCTCTGTTTAGAGTTCCACGCTGGCACTAGGACGGTGATCAGCCGCTCCTAACATGGAGAACAGACGCCGTTTTGAGCCGCACCTCCATGGTGAACAGACGCTCGGGTTTTGTGAAGCATTTCCTCTATGACCGTACTATGGTTACCGCACCAGTGTTCGCGTCGCACCTCTTCACTTTACTATTGCCGGACTGGCAACATTGCCCAGGCTACGCCACCCAGCTGTGTCCATGTTTCAGCTGGTAAAGGGTGATACGGTCAAAATTTGGTCAATATCAACTTGACGTATTTCTTTCAATTGTGCATTTAAAAAACCTGAACACCCCTCATTTTGAAGGTGTGTGTGTGTAGAATGTTGCTCCTATTTTGATTTTGGAATTCACTCTTCAGTTGTCAAAATGCCGTCCAAGCAAGAAGAGCAGCGTATCAAAATTTTGCTCGCGCATCGCGAAAATCCGAGCTACTCGCACGCAAAGTTGGCAAAATCGCTAAAAGTTGCCAAATCAACCGTTACAAATGTAATTAAAGTGTTTGGGGAACGTTTGTCGACAGCCAGGAAGTCTGGATCGGGGGGAAATCGAAAACCGGAAGCCGCTGAGACGACAAAGAGAGTTGCCGGTAGTTTCAAGCGAAACCCTAACCTCTCTCTCCGAGATGCCGCAAATAAGCTGGGTGTATCGTCTACAACCGTGCATCGAGCCAAAAAACGAGCCGGACTATCGACTTACAAGAAGGTAGTGACTCCAAATCGCGATGATAAACAAAATACGACGGCCAAAGCGCGATCCCGGAGGCTGTACACGACGATGCTGACGAAGTTTGACTGCGTGGTAATGGACGACGAAACCTGCGTCAAAGCCGACTACAAGCAGCTTCCGGGACAGGAGTTTTATACGGCAAAAGGAAGGGGAAAGGTAGCAGATGTTTTCAAGCACATGAAACTGTCAAAGTTCGCAAAGAAATATCTGGTTTGGCAAGCCATCTGTACCTGTGGCTTGAAAAGCAGCATTTTCATAGCTTCCGGGACTGTCAACCAAGAAATTTACGTGAAAGAGTGTTTGAATAAACGTCTGCTGCCTTTCCTGAAGAAACACGGTTGTTCCGTACTGTTTTGGCCGGATTTGGCATCTTGCCATTACGGTAAAAAGGCCATGGAGTGGTACGCCGCCAACAACGTGCAGGTGGTTCCCAAGGACAAGAACCCTCCCAACACGCCAGAGCTCCGCCCAATTGAGAAATACTGGGCTATTGTCAAGCGGAACCTAAAGAAGACCAAAAAAACTGCTAAGGGCGAGCAGCAGTTCAAGGCAAACTGGCTTTCTGCGGCGAAGAAGGTGGATAAGGTGGCTGTACAAAATCTGATGGCAGGGGTCAAGCGTAAGGCCCGGCAATTCGGATTTGGAAAAGCGGAAGCCTAACTGAATATTTTTCCTGAATTTTATACTAATTGAACTTGAAAAAGAAATTTAATATGATTTTTTAAATAAACGATTTTACCGATTTACACGCGTTTTCCCTTGACCAAATTTTGACCGTATCACCCTTTAATGGCATAAAGTTGGACTCAAAAAATCACAAAACACCAACTTTTCGATTTTGCTGAGAGTCCCGTTCCGAACAGCCGTCATACACTTGCTCCAACTGCACATAGAACGCTTCTTTCTCGTCATCAGGTCTCCTTTCGTGTGGGCAGTGCACGTGTTGATGAGGCTGTAGTTGAAGAAACGGCCATTAATCCTCAGCTTACACATCCTCGCGTTAATCGACTGCCAACCAATCACGCGTTGGTGCATCTTACCCAGCACTACAAAGCCGGTTCCCAGCTCGTTGGTGGTGCCACAGCTTTTATAGAAAGTAGCTGCTCGATGCCCGTTTTGCATACTTTTTGTCGCATCCAACAAAGTTCCTGCAGTGCTACGACTTCGAAGTTGCGTGGTTGAAGTTTGCCACCTAATGCAACCCGGGAAACTGAACGATGTGCAGTTCCATGTTCCGAGTTTCCAATCTTCGTCATTATTTCGTCGCGTAGGTCTGTGCCGATTGTTCCGATACTTATTTCTTTCTTCTCTATTTTCAACTTTATATTTTTTCTAAGGCGGTTTGTTGGGCCTGCCCCAATAGACTGATGCAAAATTTTATATTTTTGCTCCACAGTGTTCAAACGGTTTCAAATCGGGCCCTAATTAGTCTCCGAAAGTTTAAACTCATTTGATAAGAAACTGACTTGGCACAAACCATTTTAAGTTTATATGGAAATTACTATGGGAAAACAAAACTTTTTGTTCATTGTCTTCTAGCCTTTGTACATATTGCACTGTTCAAAAACTCAAAAGCTATACTTATGGAAAATTTTCTCAGCTACAACTTAGCAGAATATAGTTGTTGAGCCAAAGATCAAATAAAATAGTTATTAATTGTTTAAGAGACTGATAATCTTATGGCAAGATTAAGCAACTGTATTGCGGGCAACACTGTATTCTACAGTGTGACATAGTAGCCATGATTTTTGTCCTCTATTCTACGCGCCATAAACACCAATGTTGCATGCTGAACAGTTGATTAAGCATGAGCATAAGACATCAGTGACTTGAATCATTAATAATTTTTGTTCCTTACATTTGATCGAAAAGTGGTCTTCAACAAAGTTGTAGCTGAGAAAACTTCAACAAGCTTAGCTATCATTTTTTAAAGTAGCGTGAACTGGTGAATTTTGAGATAGATATGAACCGAAATGATGGTTTCTCCACAGTAATTCCCATATAAACTTCAAATGGTTTGTGGCAAGTCAGTTTCTCACTAAATGAGTTCAAATTTTAAGAGCCTAATCAGGGCCCAATTTGGAACCGTTTGAGCACTGTTGAGCAAAAATTTCAAATTTTGCATCAGTCTACTGTCCCAACCTCCTGTCTCTCCTGGGGACCAGGAGGGTGATTAGCCGCTCCTAACATGGTGAACAGAGGAGGCGTGAGGTAGGAACTAGTGAGGACCAGAGCTTGGTATTTCACTCCTACCACGTTGTCAACTCACCATTTTGTAGCCCCACATTTTGGTCCATGGCATGATGTCTATTTAATTCTGGATGAAAAATCTCAAATTTCATCTTTTTTGAAGCCCTGCCGGAACCGGTTCCAGCTACCCAGATGTGACAAGGTCTACCTTTTGATCCATGGTACGATGTCTATTTACTTCTGGATGAAAAATCATACATTTTGAGCCGGTTTTACCCTAGGTTCGAATCTAGAAAATGCCCTTTATTTTTTTTTATATATGGATTGAATAATGAATAGTGATTTATTTGAGCCACTGCTCTTCATATTTACGTACGTTAAATACTGTTAAAAATAAAGGCTTGTGCGTATTGTTTCATTCAGTTCATCAACGGATCTTTTTAGAAACCTTAAAGTTGCTAAGAAGTTCCGCAGGGAACTTGTTTTGGTCATGTTTGCAGCATTCCCAAGTAGCACATGTTGTCACATAAAAGTTGCTGCCACTATTTTCTGACCAAATTATGTGTCGTAAAATCATTACAGTAACCATGAAGGCAACAGCAATGCAACTAAAAAAGCGCAAGATGTGAGTTGATATGTAACCAATTTAATGTTACAAAACTTGTTACACAGTAGTGATGAAATAACAATATTGGATTACATACAAATAAGTTAACTTGTAACGTTCATTAACTTTAGTTTAATTTCGACGATGAATAATGTTTTACAGAGTACTTTTATGGCATAAACATTTTGAGGCGTTGATAAAATTATAATAATCATTAGAGATATTTGCAACGAAAACACGTACCAGAGAGAGAAAAAAAATGCAGTTTTATATTTACGGTGAAGTTGGGAGTTTTATATTGATAAAATAAATGCGCCATCATACATATAAATTGATTTATTACCATATTTTTGATCATAAATGATTTGAAGAAAAAAATCTTTTTTGTACACCCAGTTTGAGAGTTACACATCGAACAAAAAGTTTCATGATATGAACCATTACTTGAGATTATAAAGAAAACTTGTTACTATTAGTTTGTCCTTAAGGCTCAGCATTCACAATTGCATCACCATTAATTAAATATTTTACTATTTTGATAATTAAAAAAAGGAACAAACAATTAGATTGCGACTGGTGAAACATTTTAGAGCGGCAGTGTAGTTTTCATTTGCCAAGATCATAGAGATTGCATATGTGTTACCATCTGGTGACATGCGACTATTAGGGTCACGCTGAAACGAAAATGCAACTGTAATGCGACATACAATTGTTGCCAAGTTACATATTCGTAAATTTTCGGTCGCTGTGGCAACTCAGTTACAGTTCAACCAATTGATAACATTAGATCGACACAAAAAGATTACACTGTGTTATCATTGAGACCAGATAAGTTGCATTTTATCTCAACATCGTGACAATCTGACTTTACAGTTACCAGTGACCGTTGTGTCACATTAATGTATCCTATTACTTAGAAAGTCATGACGTATCTTCATGTTGACTTGATATGTAACTGCATATATTGCATGGTTACTTTTATGAAATAATTGTGTAACATGTTTCTCTTTCTCACTTAAAAAAAGATGTAGCAGGTGCTACTTGGGTTGCCTGAAGTTCCGAAGCTATGCTTAGGGGTACTTTTATTTTAACTTTAAGTTACTAAGAGTACGCACCGGTACTTTAGCTTGTAAAGCAGCCAGAAAGTTATGTTGAAACATCACATAAACTTATGAAACTTGAAAGTGGATTTTATCATGGAAAGCGGAACTTTTGGTTGCTTGGGCATGCAGATCATGATTTAAGCTTGTAGAATGCTGTAAAACCTCGATTTATTGCAATGCTACTTGGGATACTTGGGAATTCAAAGAATCAATCGCATTTAATGCATAATGGTAATCATCAGTTGTTAAAACAATAAAAATGCAACAACAGGGAACATTTGGTTCGATAAGAGACGCTGTTCAAATACCACGTGGGATGAAAGCATGATTTTGAACTGCCCCTCTCCTTCCGCGGGAAAGCACATAGGCTCGACCCCTACCATCTTCTCAGATGTCGTCCACGCGGAAAATATTTTTTTATTTGTTTAGTTATCCCTACGCTTCTTATCGTGCTGCTCTCTGCCACCATTTTTTTCTATTTTGCATGCTTTCTTTTGAAAGACCACCAAACAAATGTTCAAAAATATGGACAGTTGATTAATTTTTAATATTTTTTTAGACTTTTTATATATTTTTATTTAATGTTTCTCGGCTTCACGGAGTCCCTTTGGACATTTGAGCCTAACAAATAAACTTTCAAATCTACAAAAGTTCATTTTACTTCATTAGCATGGATTATGGATATCGTCATAATGATAGCTAAATAAACTGTAATTTGCTTTCCCGAAATTGTTCCAACATTTGTTTTAAGCTTCTGGTCAATTTGATGTCCACTGATGAAGGACGCCTGTTATCTTTATTTATTAAAGAGACTTAAACTGTTAAACAGAATGTGTGACAGTTTCTTGACTGCTGTAAACAAACCACTCTATTCAAAATCATGAGCTCACACGCTCCTCTGATGGATCATCTCATCACCAAAATTAGAGGTTACATTGCAACTTGTTTTCTAAAAATTACCCTACCCGGGACTGCAACATCTTCACCATTGCGATCACGCATAGTGTATAGTATTGTAACCGATTGCGGGTCACTTGCTGCTTGCAAAAATCATTACATCAACACAACTTACTGAAAGCTGAAGCGCCTCGTACTCGAGCTCGGTAATTACTGTGTCAAGATGATCCCTGCTTAAACCGATGATGACGAGATCGTCGACCGTAAAACTCATCTTCTGAAACAATTGCAAATTGATGATGGCCCAAGTCCACCCTCGTAGTCTGCTACCTACTTCACGATTCCTCTTCGCTCGAGTACTCATGAATCACCCCACCCAAAGTAAGCCACTCGTCGGAAAAGCAAACAACACATACGTATGTAAATACCTAATAACTGCTTCATCATAAGCATCAACCGCAGTTGCGGTTTACGTTTTATCGCTTTTTTCATTCAACTTGATCTAGCTAGGTACCACATTGACTGGTGCCCTCCATTCATGATTGCCGCAGTGTAGCGCCACAGACTTTAACCTCGTACGATTTGCTCACTAAAGATTTGGTTTCCTTTTCTCGCTCTCTCCCTCTCTTTACAGGTCAATACTCACTGGTTGAACCAGACGGTTCCGTCCGTACCGTGGACTACACAGCTGATCCAATCAATGGATTCAATGCTGTCGTGTCGAAGACCGCTCCGCTGATCCACCACCACGCCCCGGTGGTGAAGCACGTTGCTCCAGTGGTGAAACATGTCGTCCCAGCGCCACATCCGGCCCACAAGGTGGTCTACGCTCATGAGCCAGTGGGTGAGTAGTGTTCGGAGGAAAAATGTCATCGGGGTCGGATGTATTCTGTCCGGGAATGATTCTTAACGTTTACGTTTACGTGTTTTTATAATTCGTTTATTTATCAAGACTCATTTCCGTTAACTTCACGGAGCCGAATTTCAATTTTTGTTTAACAAACTTTTCTTAAAACTACTGTTAGTGGAACAAGGGCCGATTACTCGCGGCTTTTTTGAGGTTAGGGGCAGTGGCCATGAACTAAGAGTGGTACAAAACATACTGGTGCTGCTCTCAAACATGCTTGGCATACACAGTTTTGGTCACGAACTGCTCATTTTCAAATAACTTTGCACACAGTTGACATAACACAGTTCTGTTTGAATTAGTAGATAGATGAGAATTTAAGCTTATTATAAATACGTAAAAAAAAGTAGGTTTCAATAAGTAATAAATTGTATGTGTTGTAAAATTAAGTGAGAATGAGAAATGCTCGCTACACATCTCGGACTTTAAGTGTAAAAATTCATTGGTGTTGATTCAAATGTTAAGATTTACCTATTCTTTGCATACCTATAGTAAACTATGATCCTAATCTGTCAATTACTTTAAAGAAAAACAAATTTCAATACTAAGTGAAAAGTTATTGACAAATGAGCAGTTGGTGTGTACAACTGTGCATGCCAAGCATGCTTTCAAATACGGGAGGGCGTCTCTTAAGTAATAATCGTATTGTCAATACGTTCTATATTGACATCAATACATCGATATTGACAATATTTCTATCATGTGGCACGACAAATCACATAAGAATATAGGAACATGATCAAAGACAATCACTTCGCTGTCACTGTTCTTAATCAGTTCAGAAAAGTTGAAGCCTAGTTCAGGAAGTTCCTAAATAATGTGCTCCTATAGTTGCCGGATACTCCGTAAGCCACTATAGGAACACATTGCACTAACGTAGCACCAGTATTGATGCGTTTACCCTACCCTAGTAGCACGCTTGTCACAAATTGTAGAAACTTATATACGACTTATTTCAGTCATAAACAAGTTTGCTGTAACTTATTGTGATGAAAGTGTGCTACTCGGGTATCTTCTTATATTCTACATATTTTCAAATAAACATATAAATTCATTGGGTAGGGATTTTTCTTAACTAGTTCATTTATTTGTAAGGCTCAATCGTGTTAGCTTTACGGAGCCGATAGTTCATTGTTCTTTCTTTGAAACAAAATTCACTTAATTCTATATCTAGTAGGAGTTGGGCCACCCGAGGTTAGAGGGACATTGTCGATAAATAGAATCAGGCGAGGAGCTTGGGTGTGGGGTTTAGTTTTCTCATCAGTATGAACGGTAGTGCGGTTCTAGTTTCGTCTGGAGTTCGACCGGCTATGGTGAACAGTGGGCGACGATGAGACTCATCGAGACGGGGTGGGTAGGGCTGGGATTGAAGCGATTCGGATGGGGAAAGTGGAATTGTCAACTCTCTGTTGTTAACATTTCGTCAATTGAATGTGGGCTCTTCTCCCCACTCATTGGGACATCCTCTCGTATGATGGCTTGTTCTGCATCGGGTTGGATCATTTATATTATTGGAAGGAGATTCTTCTTGCTCCCGTGGACCACGCGTAAGTGTCTCTGCTCCGTTTTTGGCCCGTCATACAATGGTAAATTGCATACAACCAGGTATCGTTCTTGATAAAGTCATACGAAGTGGACTGTTCACTGTCCAAAAGCTGTGTTCTGCAGCAATGTTTGGATTCCTGTACCTACATTTACATAAGTGTGTTTTAAAATTGATCCTACAGTAGAACGAAAATTTAAAAAAAAAAAAACGGCTTTAAAAGCACAATTTTAAAAGAAACATCTCTGAACTTTTGGCAGCTGACTCAGCAAACATTTATCAATTATTGGCTCAGTATTCGGCATATTTGGTTGAGCTTACAAAAAGTTAGAACAATTTAAGGAAAACACCTTGTTTTTGAAAAACCTCATTTTCTTGAAATAAAATGAACATAACTTCCTGAAATTTTGCTCATTTTTAGTCGTTATTAAGATAATTCATCTGCCACTAGTTGTACTAAAATTCGTCCACTGGGTAAAAAGTTGAAAAGAGCATTGAAATCATAGCAATAAATCAATAAACATCTGATAAATCACCAGCCATGATAATAAAAAATACAATTTTTCACCATATTTGAAAAAAAAAAAAACTTCTAGGGTATACGATAAATTTTGAAATGCACTGTATATACTATACTATAGAAAGTTCCTAATCACTTCAGGAAAGTTTGGTCATTAGTTCATAATCTGAATTCTTTTCAAAGTGAATCCAAAATTTTCTGGAGTGATTTAATACTTTTGGTGTAGTTCTGAACGTTTTGAATATGCGATTTAGTTCTTTTAGAATTGCTTCAAAACCTTTTATGAAGGCATTCAGCTATGTTTAAACTTTCAAGAAGTGAATTAGTTTTTCCTAAGGGATTTCAAATTGAACTGAATTGAAATGATTCAGTTCTTTCTGACGCAATCCTGATCTTTTTTGAAGTGATTCTGAGCTTACATTGAGTGATTCAGTTCTTTATGAAGTGATTCCTTACTCTTTGGAAGTGATTAAGTACTTTTTAAAGCTAGGTAAAACTTTTCGAAGTGATTCAAGACATTTTTGAACTAATTATGTACTTTACGAAGAGATTCCGAACTCTACTGAAGCGATTGAATGCTTTCGAAGTGATTCCCAGCTCTTCTGAAGTAATTCAGTGCTTTTCGAAGTCATTCAGTGCGTTCCGAAGTGATTCAATAATTTATTGAAAATGATTCAGATAAAGAGATTTCAATCTCTGCTGAAGTGATTCGGTGCTTTCAAAGTGATTCTGATCCCTACTGAAGCGATTCAATACTTTCGATGTAATTCCTACCTCTTCTGAAGTGATACAGTATTTTCGAAATGTTTCGCAGATCTTCTGAAATGATTCAGTTCTTTCGAAGCAATTAAGTTCTTTCTAAATGATTCAGTTCTTTCGGAGTCATTTATATCTCTTCTGAAGAGATTCAGTACTTTCCAAAGTTATTCAAATTTTTAGAAGTGCTTAAATACTTTCCTGAAGTGATTCAGTACATTAGAAGTGATTCCTAGCTGCTCTGAAGTGGTTGAGTACTTTTCATATTTTTTTCCGAAGTGATTCCAAACTTAAACTGAATTGAAATGATTCAGTTCTTTCCGAAACAATTCCGAGCTTTTCTGAAATGATTCAGTACTTTTAAAGTGATTCCTATCTCTTCTGAAGTGATTCAGTACTTTACTAAGCTATTTAGTATTTTCATAAATGATTTAATACTTTCTAAACTCAACTGAAGTTATTCAATACATTTCAGGGATCCCCAGCTTTTCTGAAGTGATCCAATACTTCCGAAGTGATTTAGAACTCTTCAGAAGTGATTCCGTTCCTTCGATGTGATTCCTAACCCTTCCTAATTCCTAACTTTTCAAAGTCATTAAATACTTTTTGAAGTGCTTCAAAACTGTTCTGAAGTGATCAAGTACTTTACGAAGTGATTTCAAATACTTTTGAAGTGATTCAGTACGTCAGAAGTGCTTCCCACCTGCTCTGAAGCGATTCAGTACTTTTGAAGTGTTTCCTAATTCTGCTGAAGTGATTGAGTGCTTTTTGAAGTCATGCAGTAGTTTTGAACTTTTATATACACACTTAGAAAAAATAATGTACATTTAGGTGCTCTGAGACTGACATATACGAGCGTCAATTTTGACATAAATTCGAGTCACAATAGACGCAAAATTCAGCTCAATCACACGTACTTTTCGTCGAGTACTGAATTTTTCGGCCTCGGAGCACTTAATTTTACATGACATGTGTCACGTGTAAAATCAGGTTTTTCTAAGTGTGTAGTTAATAACTACTAGTTATGAAGCGTTTGAAATTAAATGAAAGTGATTCTGAACAGTAAGCATTAAGCTGATTTCTAACTTTGCAGAAGTGAATCAGTTTTTTCCGAAGTGATTCCAAACTTGAACTGAATATAAATGATACACCACTTTCTCTGCTGAAGTGATACGGTGCTTTTAAAGTGATTCTGATCCCTACTGAAGTGATTCAGTACTTTCGATGTAATTCCTTCCTCTTCTGAAGTGATACAGTATTTTCGGAGCGTTTCGCAGATCTTCTGAAATGATTCAGTTCTTTCGAAGCGATTGAGTTTTTTCGAAATGATTCAGTTTTTTCGGAGTCATTTATATCTCTTCTGAAGTGATTCAGTTCTTTCCGAAGTGATTCAATGCTTTTAGAAGTGCTTAAATACTTTTCTGAAGTGATTCAGTACACACTTAGAAATACCTAATTTTACACGTGACGGAATTCATCTTTGACATAAAGGATGAGACGTAAACAAACATGTCATGTAAAATTAAGTGCTCCGAGACTGAAAAGTACGGTACTCGACGAAAAGTACGTTTGATTGAGCTGAGTTTTGCGTCTATTACGACTCAATTTTATGTCAAAAATGACGCTCGTATATGTCAGTCTCAGAGCACCTAAATTTACATGATTTTTTTTTAAGTGTGTACGTTAGAAGTGATTCCTAGCTGCTCTGAAGTGATTGAGTACTTTTCATAATGATTCAGTTCTTCATAAAGTATTATTGAATGTTTCATAAGTGACAAAGCGCTTGCTGGAGTGTTTCCAAATTTTAAACAAGTGATTTTAAACTTTTCTGATGACATTGAGCTTATTTCTAAGTTTCCAGAAGTGAATCATTTTTTCCCGAAGTGATTCCAAACTTGAACTGAATTGAAATGATTCAGTTCTTTCCTAAGCAATTCCGAGCTATTATGAAATGATTCAGTAGTTTTAACGTGATTCCTAGCTCTTCTGAAGTGATTCAGTACTTTATTAAGCTATTCAGTACTTTCCGAAGTGATTCAATACTTTGTGAACTCTACTGAAGTTATTCAATACATTTGAAGCTTTTCTGAAGTGATCCAATACTTCCGAAGTGATTTC